ACATAGCACACAATGGTCAGGAGAGATGTGACATCTCTGACCAGTCATCTGGGAGAATCTGTTTTAAGGTTCATAATGTCACTCTGCAAAGTCCCTTTTGCCTTGTACCATAAACAGATATAAAACCTAGGACCAAAAATCCTAATCAGATTTCTTCCCATCATACTATTGAAATGCGCTCAACATCTTTGAAGTCATTTGTATCCTAAAGTCTGCTTACATGAAATCATTTAAAAGTCAGGTTTTAATGAAAGTTTATATCCTTGAAATGTGTTGTTCTTTTTTGAAGAGGTTTTTGTGTTTTAAACATTTGCTGAAGTTTAAGCAATGGTCATGCTCTAAGTGGAATTTAGGAAGCGAGAAAAAATAGTTTTAGTAAGGAAAATTAATCTGTTGCAGAAATCTAGTAACTAATCCAACTGTAGGTAATTTTGGAGTATATTATCTACTATTTAGGAATACCTATTTGCACCAAAATTTTACTTAGGAAAACACTTCAATTGTGTATTAATGTCTACTTGCTACAGTGGAAGAGTCTGATAATGTTTTGCTGCAGCATTTTTGCTTTCTAAATGTCCCCCAGAAAAGGAAAGATGGAGAGTTTATTTTTGCGTGTGAGAACTTTGTAGTCTATCTCCAAAATAGAATAGATCTTAATTAAAATGTTCTGATATTGATCCTTGTGCTGAACAAATATTTGAAACCGCTTGAGGGCAAATCATGTTCTTGATGTTACTTTTGTCAAAGGATTGCTCGAGCTCCTGTTTGGTCTTCACAATGAGATAAGTGGTTCTGATTTCGCGGTATTGCCAGCATAGTAAATGCATGGCCATCATTTAAACTAGATACCAGAAATTTTCACACTGGAGTCTCTTGAGTGTACATTTCATGTTTCCCACACTATTTTCAACTGTGATACATCCTCCGATTTCAACTTGGAAAATTAGTGTTTTTGAAATGGGTATTAAGACGGTTTCATTTTTGGTGCCAGGTGCCACCTGTGGTCACATTCTTGTTTTTCCCCCACACCTTTTCCTAGCACCTCCCTATGGGTCTATCTTTGGCTTCTGCCCTTTCGTTGTCCACAGTGGCATGGAGCCATCAAAGCAACATATGTGCAGCTAGTACCAAAGGTTGCTTTCACCACTTTATTTTTCAGTTCTTTAATTACTCTGGGAAGAAGCTCTTACTTAATTTTAATCTGTGCACATTTTACCCCTCAAGCCACTTTAAGTGTTTATGACAGTATGAGTAACTCAAGAGTTGTCATTTTCACAGGTAGTCCATTGCACTTATACCTTTATTTCTGTCTTTTCATTTAAGCAGCAAAAAAAGCTGTCTAAATTTGAAATCATGTTTTTCCACTCATTTCAGAGTGGTTGGATTTAATGATGTAAGTGTCCTCTTAAGTAGAGAACTACCTGGGTATGAACTCTAGGTCCACACATTACCAATTTTGTCATCTTTAGCACCTTGCTTGACCTCCCTTTCTGAAACAAGATAGGGAGTTTGCTGAACTCCTGTTTGCTGAACTGTAGCCCCCTGGAGATGAAGGCTGTGTCCCGTTTATTTCTCTCCTTTAAGCACCTGAAACAGTACATGCCATGCAGTTTGGCCTGGTAAACATTTGTTTAATTTCACCAAGATCATTCATGTAATGTATTTAGTTCAGTGCCTGAAACAGTAACCAAATGTGATGAGATTTCTCTCATCATAACTAAGGTTCTCATCAATTATGCTTAAAATATAACCTTTATTTTTAAATCTATTGTAGAAAAAATATCTACCTACCACTCAACCACTCCATACTGACTTCAGGTAATAATCCTTACAATGAAATAAATTTGGTCTCTCTCCATTCAATGTGCCAATGTAATTTCTGGGCTGACTCATAAGAATCAAGGGGAAAAAAATGTAAATTAATTCCCATTCTCTCAACTTGTGTGTTTCAGTCAACTTCAGTGAGGTATAGGTAGCTCGTCTCCTTTTAATTTTCCCCACAATGTTTGCAGCTTTGTTTTCCTTCAGTGTGCTCTAATTGAGAGTAAGAAATCATTTCTAGATCAGTTTTGCTTGTTTCTAGTGCCTGGCTTAAAACACTTTCGTGACCTAAAAGGAGCATATTTTTTTTTTCCCCACTTAATTTTTGATGGGATTTTGTACAGTTTAAAACACTCTAAAGTGTTTTAAAGGACACAAACCTTTAGATCTGTAGAATTCTAGAAAAAAAGGATCTTGGGTCATTTCATCTTAAAGAGGAAAGTAAAAAAAGTTCATTTGGCTAGTGGGAAAGTAGTATGTTAAAGTTTTCCTGACCGTTGTTTTTTAAATGGGAAGATGACAGAAAATGGGCCAAAGAAATTCTTCAATTCTATTTTTTTCTCATTCAAGACTTTATAGAGGTGTTAAATTTTTAGCTTAATTCCTAAAAATAATTCCATATACAACCTGTTCTAATGAAAGGAATGTTATGTTGCTATCATGGAAGATCAGACTAAATCAGTAACAATTTTTTTTCTCGACTATTGTAGAACTTCTGGAAACTGGTCTCCATTTTATTCAGAATTTGAATATTTGTTTAACTAGAATAAATCCATTAGTGTAATGAGAATGTTTTGTACATCTGAATGACTGTAGTAGTGTATTAACAGATTTTTAAAAGTCAGCAATTTTCTCATGTCAAGCCTTTCCTATTCATGTCAGGAGGATAAATAGCATAAGTACCTGTTATGGCAAAATGTATTCTCATTTTACCCACAACCATAAAATCTTGCAAGTGGAATTATGTATCCTGCAGCCTTCATGCTCCTCACTACGTAGTAATTTGCATGATTGTTTTAATGTCTAATCATATCACTGCATAATTCTTGTATAACTGTTAAGTCACAACATTCTTGAGACAACAGTAATCAGACACAGCTATCAGTTTAAATAAGGGGTTTTAGGAAATAATCATATCTCCATTAAGTTTGGAATGTTGGAACTATATCTTCGTATTTAAACCTACTGCAGATTTTCCTGAGCCCCTAAACTTTTAGGCCTCTCCACTAGATCGAAAGGGTAAGGACGAATCAGGCTGCAGCATGAGGCTGAACCTCTTAGCTCTGGGCCGGGCTCATCTGCTGAGAGATACTGAGCAGCGGGGCATGTTAGGGAGCATGCCATGGGCAGACAGTAGAACCTTCCTTTTAGGCCTGTGTTCAGTTAATTATGGATTTGCCCCGTTAATAGCATAGAACACAAATGAACTCATTACAGTGACTCTTTTGGAAATGTGTCGAACAAGGAGGTGAGTAGACTATTCAGCTTTACATTTTTATTTTCAGAATGTGTAACATTGAAATAAACTATATATACAGTGTAAAATGTTCATTATGAAAAAATCTTGTCTAAGCTTAAAAATAGCAGTGCTGAGTATGTAACTTTATAATGACCTCCAGCAGCTCACTAGGAAAGGCTTCTTTGTATGTCAGAATTTTCTAGATCTTAAGTTTCTTTCAGTGGCATTCCTTATCATTCATTTTCTCTGCTCCCTTCACTTGTGGGTCGTCATTGGAGTTCTGTTTGTGTTGCAGTTAAGGTGTTGTGCTGGGGCTAATCTCTGTAAAATGCTAGCATTTGTTCGTCTTTTTCCCCATCATCAATCTTTCACACTCTTATCAAACCCCTAATGTATCAGCAGGTTTCCCAGAGCTACTGGTTAAAATTACCTTTGCTTTTGGTAAACTCTGAACCTTCAAGCCTCAGTGTTTTCAGCTGCCCCCTGTGGATTCTGTGAAGGCTCTCTGCACATTCCTCACTGCCAGTCACTTGCTTTATGTCCTGAAACGAAGAGCCTGTGCAGAGCCCGTTTATTATTCCAGCTGTACCTGCCATCCTTCCTTAAATGCATAGAGTATGTAAATATTTCCAGTGATTGCTGTTGTTTATGCAAACTACAGGTGAAAGTGGTGAGGACTCTTTACACAACACCACTGTCACCTAGCTCTCAAAGTTTTGTTTTCCTGATACTACCGAAACTGGCAAATGGAGTAGTCTTCAAGAAAAATGTTACAATAAAATTATTTATTCAAATTTCCAGTCTGATTAGTATCATGTTTGCATTTTGTCATGTCTTTTATCAAGCTTTCCTTTCATCCATCCCGAGTAGGGCTGCCCTTTATAAGTAAAATAGGATTCTGTTACAGGTACAATTCCGTGGATAGTGGTTCATGTTTTCACTTTAAGCATAGTGTAGCATACACACATGACCATTAGGTTTAACTTCATTCTTTCAGAAAACTGACTTCCACCTTGAGGATCATAGTTTTGTAATTAGTATGATTCTGTTGCTTGACTAGGAGACCCCTTAGGCTAATGATGGATGGTCAAATAGCCCTCTAAATTTGGAGAGATTCACTAAAAAAAAACTTAAGTGACTTTTAAACCGTTCAACCTGCTTTTAAACAACTATGGCATTTTCCACAATCGCTATATAAAACAAATTAGCACTTTTAAATGAACGAAAGCAGTCTAGAATGTCCCATCTCTTAAAAGCTCTCCTTAGTAGCAGGAACGCAAACACTATTAGAGATGACAGTGCCCTTTCACGTGTTATATGGCCCTTTGATGTGCAAAAGTCACCTATATTCTTTTTAAAGGTGGAGTAATGAAGGCGTCAAGTGTTAATAGAACATTTGTTACATTACAGAACTGTGTTCTGAGGAATGCTTCTCTACAAGCATGATTTTATGTTCGAAGTTGTCATAAAATGCTATTTAGTTTAAAATAATTACGTTTAATTGTTTGGGAGATGCAGTTCCATTCCAAAAAAATAAAGCTCCATGTGAATAATGTCCTGTTTAATGTGAGTTGAGGAAATCTTAAGTTTTATGTTCTGAAAAAACAATTTTTTGATCCTAATGAATTTTTGGGTTACATTTTAATCTAAAATTTGTCATTTCTTACCACAGCTGTACCTTCATATTTATATTCCTTGTTTTATTTGGCTTGTTTTTTAGTGGGCACACCTTATTACATGTCTCCTGAGAGAATACATGAAAATGGATACAACTTCAAATCTGACATCTGGTCTCTTGGCTGTCTACTATATGAGGTAAGTCATGTTGATAAATTCCATATACTGATGCATTTTTACTTTATTTCCCTTTACAATTTTTTTTCCTGGATGTTTAAGAATTGGCTTTTAAGAATTTATTGGGTTAATATCTGGTTTTATACAGAGTGACAGTCTTATTGCTTCCTGTTTTTAAATCATACTGTTAATGGGTTAATGAAAATGTAAAAATATGTATTTGAGCACCTACGAAAAAGACTTGGGTAGTGTAGGAGAGGTATATTAAAATAGATTTAAAATATAAATGTAAAGTAAACATACTTGTTAGTATTTTGTTTCACATTTACATCAGTATAATTCAACTTTAAGGATAATAACAGTTCATTTCCATGAGTAACAATTTGTTAGAAAAGCTCAGGAAATTCTCTCTCGTACTTAACAAAGGAAGATTGAATATTGTTGGTCAGTCCTCTAGAAATATTGCAGTTCAATATGGATTCATAAAAGAAAGCATGTTGCTAGAATATTTTATACCCTTGTTATAGACAATGTCATAAAAGGGTTTCTCGAGCTGGTGACTTCTATAATCTTAATTGAATGGCAAGAATAGATTGAATCGAAGTTGGTTTAACTAAAGTGAATAGTCTTACTTTCATATCCCAATAAGGTTAACTAGAGTAGATGGATAAAAACCAATGTATTTCCTACTGTTTTGTACCTCTTGTCCCAATTTAAATGAATGAGGTGGTATCTATTTTAATTGTGCCATCACTGGAAGTAGAACATCAGGAGGTGTTTTGAAAAATGTGTTCTGCTGATTCCAATTTTCTTCAGGAACCTAAAATTGTTTTTGCTACTGAAGTGACTAATGATTGCTTAAGAATTATGTTCTTGAACTCAATTTTTATGAAAAATTATAAATTTAATCAAATGATTCCATGTATGCACATGAGGTTAAGGGATTTCTGTTCACCATATTATTTTCTAAATAATATGGTACAATGTTGACAGGGCTTGACAATATTAGTTACCTTATAGTATGTTTGAAACATAATCTTACAGTCCTTCAGGTCATAGTCAGATTATGAAAGCAACATTTTCCCTTTAAATCTCTAAAAGCAAATAGCAAATTAGATTTTAATGATGAGATTAAATGGAGCAATGGAAAAAATGTTCAGTAGGGATAATGTGCTTTTAGGAGAAAGTCTGCATAATGCTTTTTAGGGCTGGCAAAATCATGTCAAAACGTAAATAATTTCACATTCTATGTGCTTTTGAAAGACAGTGTTCCATTTTTGTCTGCTTAAAGTGATCATCAAAATAAAATTTCTGTAGACACTCATAACTCAGTTATGTGTTGTGGATTATTTCTAGTTACTTATGCTAAATAACATTAATTTCCATCTTGATTGCTACACAAGAACTTGAATTTTGTAAAAGATTTGGTTTATTGCCCTTCAGTTACATTGGAATATAATAGAAATGTCAGCATTTTAGTTGTAAAAACTTGGCCATAACATCACATTTACCATAGATATTGTTTCCTACTAAGAAATTACTATTAACGATGGTAAAATAGGAAGGCTTTTTTGAAAATGTATTTTAAACTCAAAAAATTGGACTTTCAAATGTTCCTCAAACCTTAAAAAAAAAAACTAGCAGTAGACTTTTAATTGATATGCAACAAAGTAGACTTTACTAATTAAAATCAAGATGCTGTGCTTTTGCTACACGGACCTTTACATGGAAAAGTAGGTTTTACACATTTCCTTTATTGTTCAGCGCAGCAATTGCATCCTTACAGGGTTGTAGGTTGGTGGCTTACAGTTCAAAAAAAAAGAGAGCTGCCACCAGCCCCGAAGACAGACAGTGGGCTTTCGTCCCTCCGACACCCCCAGAATACTAATCAGGAAAGTCAGACCCTGGAGGTCAGGGAGCAAGTCAATCATTCTAGCGATCGTCTCAGTGTGGAGGATCAAATTAGCCTGAAAAATTCAGCTGCTGGGAGGAGAGGGCGAGCAGCTGTCAGGGGCAGCATCGAGATGCACTAATGAACCAGATGAATAGTGCAAAAGCTTGAAAATAAAAACAGGACAGTTGACATTTTTCATCTGTCAAAGCAGGAGATGCATGAAAATATACTATTCCTGTTTAACTCCTTAGGGGACATTCAGATTTTTTTTTTTAACACTGCAGTATTGAGACAAAAGTACTCTAATGAACTAGCATATGATAACGAATATATATATATATATATATATACATTTGCTTAAGGTCTTACAAACGTGGAGACTATAGTTTCTATAGTTACTTTTAAAGTAGTATTTTTAATGTTCTATTTGATCATGTGTCCTTGCATCTTAACCCTATGATTTATTGTGGTTCCTCCTTTAAAAATTTCCTCTCTGGTAGAATGTTTAGGAGCATTCAAAACGTCTTTTACTTTTTCTCATGTGGAACAACTCCTCCCAAGGTTGTTCTGTGTAGGTGTGAATAAAATGTAGGTGAGGTAAAAATTGTGTCGAGCTGCTCTCCAGGCCCGATTTCCAGACGTGTCCCCTCCTGGCTGAGGTTCTGAAGGAGTTAAAGCCCTGTCTGGAGCACAGAAGACAGATGAGAGCCATTTTCAGCTTGTCCTGTCCCCACTGACGCTCACTGAGTAGCACAGCATGGACCAGCGTGTTTCACACACACTCTGCCTGTCTGGGGAATGTACACATTGTCCTTCCAAAATCAAACTTATTAGCACATGTAGAAAAGGGTGACTGACTTTGGGGCAGCCTGGCACTCCGTGTTGTATTCTTGCTGCTGCGGTTCAAAGATTTAGAAGGTTTTCAACAGGATGCGAACATTTTAAATAGAATTTTTAGTTTGTAACCCTGCTTACCATAGTACTGGCTTGCACTTTAAATGTCAAGTTACAACCCTGTCTTTAAATTCAAATCCAATAATGTCTTTAAAGTTGCTCATCTTCTGAGTCGTGGTTTTCTGCATAAAAATCTCATTTGGATGCCTGAAAAATGCACCTGTGACTTGCAGGTTTTCAGACATTGAGTTCCAATTCATTGTAAATTAAAATACAACTAATCCCCAAATAGTTAAGACTTTTTCCTCAAAGCAAGCCACAAAAAATGCTTTGCATCCTCATCCTTGACCATTGATAAATTATATTCAGTTTTAACTTCAGTTTCATGTTTGTTGTACTTTGATCATTGCAAGCTATAGTATGTGATGCTCAGTTTTGCTATGATGTAGTACCATCGAAACAACTAGTTAGTATATGTATGAAGTTATGTTCTGTTCCTTAATATTGTTATATTGTATGTACATAGACAAATACCAAAAAAGTTTAAGATTTCTAAGTTAATTCTCTGAAAGGCATGTTTAAAATTGTTGTGTCTTCGACACCACCCCCAAACCCAGTGTAACAATCACCTTGTGAGTTGCTGTGTAACTATATCAGTTTCACTGTAAGCATTTTACAGATGGCTGCCCTACAGAGTCCTTTCTATGGTGACAAAATGAATCTGTACTCACTGTGTAAGAAGATAGAACAGTGTGACTACCCACCTCTTCCTTCAGATCACTATTCAGAGGAAGTAAGTTATTTCCAGTTGTATGTGTGTCATGATCATTTTGCTAATGTTTGGATTTTATTAGGAATTTGACTAGAAAATAAAATCGAGTAGTATAGGTGGCAGAAATGGCACTTTTCTTTCTGCCCCTTGTCTTGGAGACTTGTTTAAAGAGTTGATGCTGCAATTCATAATGGGGTGTGTAACAACACAGCATGTGGCGTAAAATTGGCCACTTCCTAGGTGTGATAATAGTAGCTGGCTTCACAGTGGACTGAACACACAGAAGGGCAGAATTAATGCTCAGACCCACGTTTAGTGATTGACACGTCTAGTGGCCCGTCCTAATAGGCTAACTCCTAATTAAAACCTTCCTTCACAGCCACATTTTCCCAAACCCGAGTTACACATCTTTGCTGCATGTCTCAGAACCTTGTTCTTTAAGCTTTATCTTCCCCCTCCTTTGACAGTACCTGTCCTGTCACTACCTCACTGCTGTAGTCCGATTCCTTTGGGGAGGTGTTTTGAGGTTAGTGCAGTAGACATGTTAAAAATATTTTGGGTAGGATTGAAGCTTTTACCTTGCTTGGGGTGGTAACCCATTAAAATGAATTGTGTTGGCTCTATCCAACCTCCAGTGTTTATACAGAACGTGTATTCCATTTTAGCTTAACATATTGTGATTGTACCAGTATTTAAGCAGGAAGCATACAGAACAGGCATATGTCAGGTCAACTAAGGCTTGTTCACAGGGGCTCTTTTTGGACTGTTCATTGGGGACTTAGCAGTGTCCTGTGTTAGGACATCTCACCTCAGGAGCAACAGATTTTTCTGCCCCAGGAAAATGGAAAGGAGTAAAAGAAAAAATATGAAACTATAATGTTCACTTAATAGTGTCAGTCTTTCTATTGTGAAACGAATAGCATTCCATCTTAGCATTGAGTCCATGTAACTCGAATAATAAATCTCTAAAGAATTTTTTTACCACATGTAAAGCTTTTGGGTTCCATGAATGAAGTACATTTTCTAATAGTTTTGACTCTGATAATCAGTGATGCCTACTTTTTTGCTTTATGGCATTGGTATTCAGGTAATTAGAATAAACTCTGGATAATGTAGAAATATTACCTTTACTTGATGTGAATGCTCTTATGTTAGCCATTTTTAATTACTATTTTGGGTCTAGAATATAAATATGGCATTTCACAAAACCAACTTCAGAACCATAGGCCTAGAAATATAGTAGGGTGTGAACAATAATGCAAAATGATAGCAAGAATGTCAGGGGCCTTTCTTTGTTGTGTCATTCATGCTGTCTTCTTTTTTCCATGAAGCACATGAATATTTCACATATCTGCATCCTCATCCCCTATTCTTCTTGACTAATTTTCAGACTGTCTGAATTTGCATTTCACATGGTAGCTGATTAGGAGATGCCGAGTGCAGCAGTGAAGCCTCAGCAGGCGGTTACCATGGTGACCTTCAGCAGGATTTTAATGATGATACCACTAGTGGTTCGTTGAAGTCGGCCTGCCTGCAGGGCTACTTCACTGCAGCTAAGTGTGAAGTTGGATATGCGGATTCTCAGCCAAGGGGCAAATATCAAAGTCTGGCCCAGATAGAAGGTCTTAGAGTTGGGAAAAGAAAATAGATTCCACTTTTTACTTCACTCTATATAGTTACCAGTTTTCGAAAAGAACTATAAAGCAAAACATGTGGTGTACTTTCCAAAAAAGATTGGAATTCCTCGTATTAGTTAAGGCTGTTGTCATGCCCTGATGAAATAGAAGGCGATATCATCTAGGTAAACATAGAAGGTAATTCTTTCTTAAAAAAAAAAAAAAGAAAAATGCAGACTATATGTAACAATGTTACTTTAATCTGATCAGTTATGTACGAGAGTTCTCCAAACAAGAGCTTTGAAATGCAGATGTGCTAATATTTTCTCTCCTTAAGTAGGAACTCTGTTAAATAATTATGCAGAATTTCAGCATAGCAACAAAAACTTATCAGGTTTGGTGCTGCCTTAATGATAAATGTTTCCTCCTGGAGTAGGTTCTTTAGAAGTTTTAAAATTCCCACTCACCTTTTGTTAGTGTAGCAAAATGTAGGAAGTGGTAAAAGGTTTTCAAACAATGAACTCTTAAGTAAAAAGCCAATTCATTGTCAATTTTGTGGCACAAATGGTAAGACTGGTTAAGCAAATTAACTAACTAAATATGCATTTGAGATTTTACCCTATTTATCTATTGCTGCAAATTCAAGACTCCTCTCAAAAACATTAAAAAGGAACATTTCAGAAGAATGCCAGCAATACCCGTCTTCACACTCAGTTGGTAGGAATCTTAAGGAACACAGGATTTCCACATCAACTTTTAAATGGAATGACTGCATTTAAAAGCATGAAATTTTTCATGTTTGATATTCTAAAACCTAGGTGCTATTAAAATAGCATGTTTTGGAAAAAATAGGTGTGTATGTCACATGTTTCCTTTTGAATTTATAGGCACAAAATTAGGGTTCTAGATTCAAATACGTCAGCTACACGAATGATATTAGAAGGAAGCCACAATATACATTTCCTATCTGTGGGGAATTACTATAGTTAACAAAAATCTTATGTTGAAAGCATTTGCCTTCCCTTAGATGTCTGAGTTTAAATGTGTTAGTGGTATAGTGAAGCAAACATTTTCCAGGTGTAAGTAATTATTTAATACGCTGATCATCTGACTGGGACTTAGCCATCAAGACTAAATGATGACGACACATTCTTTAAATCTACCACTGCAAGGTCTGCTAGAAGCTCCATGAGTTTTCATGTTTTTACAGATGGCATTTCCTCTTTCTGAAAAGGTTCCTGATCTTTGCCAGGTGAATTTCTTCTATTTGAGACATGGCTTAGACATCATTTCCTGTTTTCCTAGGGTCTTTCAACCTCCTCCTTGGCACCCACAATGTATGGTGGTTGCTTCTTGTCAATCTTTTGCTCCTCAGGAGCAATGACTCTCCTTTATCTCTAGGACCTGATGATTTTAAAAGTTTTGATTACTCACTGATGGATGCATGAAGGAAGTAAAAACAGAATCCTTGACCTACCTACTCAATGATGAGCGAATGAGAAACCACTCCAAAGAATTATCTAATAAGGCAGAAAATTACTCAGAAGATCCGATGGTTTTCTTTCATTGATATTACTCCCTGTAAGGTTTTATCCTTCTTGTACATAAGCAGCAACATCTGTGAAATAAGACTGTTTTCCTTCAATTTCACTATTTCTTTGGGAGACACTGGAGTATTCATCAAAATTATGTATTTGGTAAATCTCATGAGACATTAAAAAAATGTGAATGTTTACATTGGTAACTTAGTAAAGTAACTATACTGAGTTAACTTTTAAAAATCGCATCATTAGTACCAAAGAATGTAAGACTCTCAAATTCTCATCAAAACCTTAAAAGCTGAATAGAATTACATCTTAGTAGTTGCTTTTAGATATTTCATTGTATGTTTGAAAAGACAGGATTGCAGGTGTACGTTTGAGGCAGAAATGGGAAAGGAGGATAAGGGTGGTCTTGGTTAAAGAAAATACTAGGTTGCAGACTTAAGAACTGTAGAAGAAACGTTATCGCTATAGAACATTGGAAAGATAGTTAAACCTGTTTAATGGTGTGTACAGTGTTATAACAGCACTTTCTGATCTGAACCAATTTCCATGGCTGATGTTTAGTAACTTTCTAAGTATCTTCTAGTTATGTTTTTGAAATCTTGCTGGTTTGTAAGAAACCAGACGAAGTTTGGAATCAGATTTGCTCAGTGATCAGTTTCCGTATTCCTTAGGTATTTAATGAAAAGTGAAAGACTGTTTTGTACCTTTAAACCTCTCCCCCAAAGTATTTGTTTTACTAGGTCATTTAATGCGACTCTCGTATGTAGATTGAAACAACCTGAAAGATCACATTTAGAAAACAAAAACGAGGGCTACAGCAAAGGGGTTTCATTCATTTTCTTAGTTGGGTTTTCTCTTTCCTGGAATTGTTTAGCAGTGCACCCCAACAGTGACTTCCCTCAACTGTAATAATTTGTAGCATCGTTTTCATTGTTTTTGAGACGGAAGTCTTGATTTTCCAGAGTATTCAAAACCTAATGCAAGGAAATGGTATTTTTTCTTATGGCTAATTATTAATTATTGAGCAAAACTATTTCAGATATTTACAGGTTATTTGAGAATATAATGTCTTTGTGGCTTTAATCACTGTTTTAAAAATCGGTCTGAAAGGAAAGTGATTTTAGAAGTTTAACAACCTTTGTTAAATGGCCTTATTCCCATTTTACATATGAGCAAGTAGAGACCCAGACAATGTTAAGAGCCGAAACTAGACTCTAGAGACTCCTCCCTGCCTTCTCCTGCAACAGGCACACGCAAGACACTAAGCACTCAGGTGCTTATGGGTATGCATTTGTTTTACTGAGAATTACCCTTTCACCATGTTCATCTGCAATCTCCCTCACTGGGAAGGTAGAAATATGTCAAGTATTTACCCAGAATACTCTTCGGGCTTCATAACATTGAAAGGAAGAATTGTGGAAGGTAGGAATTTTGCATATTATAGATGTATTGATTCATAATGTGCAAAGCAAGTGTTACTGTTCATCTTCAGTTTATACTTCATTTCCCCAGTGGTCATCATTAAGGAAAATACTAAATGCATTAAAAATTATAACTGGTATTTAGTTAACATTAGTAATTCCTCATTTTTGAAGTCAGAATATATTGAAGATTTAAGAAAGTTGAGTCAGTGAACAAAAAACATGACCTTTGTTTTGGCTCACAAAAGAGCTGCTATATGTAAATAAGAAAGAAAACAAGATCAAAGTGTCAGATCATTTTTGCACATATTGAAGTTTGTAAAACTTTCCTTCATTTGAGCTATCTAAATTTCTTTTGTAGTTGCTAGAGCCAAATTTTATTATAACTTTATCAATGCCCTAGAGTTGTTGCCGGAAATCAACCAATGCTACTTAAA